AAAGTTACTACTGCCTATGGGCTCTCCGATGATGTGCTTTGATTTGGAATTCGGTCAATTCCTCTACTCGAAAACTGCTGTGCAAGTGTATTTTCGACATAGCCCACAAATGACCTTCGGTCATCGCATGACCTTGAGAGGTCAAATGAGAGTTATGAAAAGTAAGATTAGATGCTGGCGAGTCGATTGGTGCCATTTTTAGCGCTCTAGCTCTTCTGGGTGGGCCACAATCTGCTGTGCAAATTTGGGCCACGTGACCTTTGCTGACCTCTGTAGGTCAAACGGCTGGGAGTGCCACCGAATGACTTGGACTGTGGATTGAGCATGTCATGGCCTACATTGTGTGCGATTTTCAGCTTGATCGGAGATGTCCCGAATCTGGGCTGAATCCGGGCTGCGACGTATGGAGTGTCGTTCATTTGCACATTTTGACCTGCCGAGGTCAAACGGGGTCACATATCAAAAAGGGGTCTCTGAGGAAAGTTACTACGGCCTATGGGCTACCCGATGATGTGCTTTGATTTGGAATTCGGTCAATTCCTCTACTCGAAAACTGCTGTGCAAGTGTATTTTCGACATAGCCCACAAATGACCTTCGGTCATCGCATGACCTTGAGAGGTCAAATGAGTGTTATGAAAAGTAAGATTAGATGCTGGAGAGTCGATTGGTGCCAATTTTAGCGCTCTAGCTCTACTGGGTGGGCCACAATCTGCTGTGCAAATTTGGGCTACGTGACCTTTGCTGACCTCTCACTCTGTAGGTCAGACGGCTGGGAGTGCCGCCGAATGACTCGGACTGTGGATTGGGTACGTCATGGCCTACATTGTGTGCGATTTTCAGCTTGATCGGAGATGTCCCGAATCTGGGCTGAATCCGGGCTGCGACGTATGGAGTGTCGTTTATTTGCACATTTTGACCTGCCGAGGTCAAACGGGGTCACATATCGAGAAGCAGTTTTTAAGGAAAGTTACTACGGCCTATGGGCTACCCGATGATGTGCTTTGATTTGGAATTCGGTCAATTCCTCTACTCGAAAACTGCTGTGCAAGTGTATTTTCGACATAGCCCACAAATGACCTTAGGTCATCGCATGACCTTGAGAGGTCAAATGAGTGTTGGGAAAGTAAGAATGGATGCTGGCGAGTCGATTGGTGCCATTTCTAGCGCTCTAGCTCTACTGGGTGGGCCACAATCTGCTGTGCAAATTTGGGTCACGTGACCTTTGCTGACCTCTCTAGGTCAAACGGCTGGGAGTGCCACCGAATGACTCAGACTGTGGATTAGGCATGTTAGGTCCTACATTGTGTGCGATTTTCAGCTCGATCGGAGATGTCCCGAATCTGGGCTGAATCCGGGCTGCGACGTATGGAGTGTCGTTTATTTGCACATTTTGACCTGCCGAGGTCAAACGAGGTCACATATCGAGAAGCAATTTTTAAGGAAAGTTACTACGTCCTATGTGCTACCCGATGATGTGCTTTGATTTAGAATTCGGTCAATTTATCTACTCGAAAACTGCTGTGCAAATGTATTTTCGACATAGCCCACAAATGACCTTAGGTCATCGCATGACCTTGAGAGGTCAAATGAGTGTTGGGAAAGTAAGATTAGATGCTGGAGAGTCGATTGGTGCCATTTCTAGCGCTCTAGCTCTACTGGGTGGGCCACAATCTGCTGTGCAAATTTGGGGCACGTGACCTTTGCTGACCTCTGTAGGTCACACGGCTGGGAGTGCCACCGAATGACTTGGACTGTCGATTGGGCACGTCATGGCCTACCTTGTGTGCGATTTTCAGCTTGATGGGAGATGTCCCGAATCTGGGCTTAATCCGGGCTGCATCGTATGGAGTGTCGTTTATTTGCACATTTTGGCCTGCGGAGGTCAAACGGGGTCATATATCGAGAAGCGGTTTTTAAGGAAAGTTACTAAGGCCTATGCGCTACCCGATGATGTGCTTTGATTTGGAATTCGGTCAATTCCTCTACTCGAAAACTGCTGTGCAATTGTATTTTCGACATAGCCCACAAATGACCTTAGGTCATCGCATGACCTTGAGAGGTCAAATGAGTGTTGGGAAAGTAAGATTAGATGCTGGCGAGTCGGTTGGTGCCATTTCTAGCGCTCTAGCTCTACTGGGTGGGCCACAATCTGCTCTGCAAATTTAGGCCACGTGACCTTTGCTGACCTCTGTAGGTCAAACGGCTTTGTGTGCTACGTATTCTCGATATGTGACCCCGTTTGACCTCGGCAGGTCAAAATCCGCAAATAAACGACACTCCATCCGTCGCAGCCCGGATTCAGCCCAGATTCGGGACATCTCCGATCAAGCTGAAAATCGCACACAATGTAGGTGCTGACATGCCCAATCCACAGTCCGAGTCATTTGGTGGCACTCCCAGCCGTTTGACCTAGAGAGGTCAGCAAAGGTCACGTGGCCCAAATTTGCACAGCAGATTGTGGCCCACCCAGGAGAGCTAGAGCGCTAAAAATGGCACCAATCGACTCGCCAGCATCTAATCTTACTTTCCCAACACTCATTTGACCTCTCAAGGTCATGCGATGACCTAAGGCCATTTGTGGGCTATGTCGAAAATACACTTGCACAGCAGTTTTCGAATAGAGGAATTGACCGAATTCCAAATCAAAGCACATCATCGGGTAGCCCATAAGCCGTAGTAACTTTCCTTAAAAACCGCTTCTCGATATGTGACCCCGTTTGACCTCGGCAGGTCAAAATCCGCAAATAAACGACACTCCATCCGTCGCAGCCCGGATTCAGCCCAGATTCCGGACATCTCCGATCAAGATGAAAATCGCACACAATGTAGGTGCTGACATGCCTAATCCACAGTCCGAGTCATTCGGTGGCACTCCCAGCCGTTTGACCTAGAGAGGTCAGCAAAGTTACGTGGCTCAAATTTGCACAGCAGATTGTGGCCCACCCAGTAGAGCTAGAGCGCTAAAAATGTCTCCAATCGACTCGCCAGCATCTAATCTTACTTTCCCAACACTCATTTGACCTCTCAAGGTCATGCGATGACCTAAGGTCATTTGTGGGCTATGTCGAAAATACACTTGCACAGCAGTCGAACGGGGTCAAACGGGGTCACATATCGAGAAGCGGTTTTTAAGGAAAGTTACTACGGCCTATGGGCTACCCGATTATGTGCTTTGATTTGGAATTCGGTCAATTCCTCTACTCGAAAACTGCTGTGCAAGTGTATTTTTGACATAGCCCACAAATGACCTTAGGTCATCGCATGACCTTGAGAGGTAAAATGAGTGCTGGGAAAGTAAGATTAGATGCTGACGAGTCGATTGGTGCCATTTTTAGCGCTCTAGCTCTACTGGGTGGGCCACAATCTGCTGTGCAAATTTGGGCCACGTGACCTTTGCTGACCTCTGTAGGTCAAACGGCTGGGAGTGCCACCGAATGACTCGGACTGTGGATTGGGCATGTCATGGCCTACATTGTGTGAGATTTTCAGCTTGATCGGAGATGTCCCGAATCTGGGCTGAATCCGGGCTGCGACGTATGGAGTGTCGTTTATTTGCACATTTTGACCTGCCGAGGTCAAACGGGGTCACATATCGAGAAGCGGTTTTTAAAGAAAGTTACTACTGCCTATGGGCTACCCGATGATGTGCTTTGATTTGGAATTCGGTCAATTCCTCTACTCGAAAACTGCTGTGCAAGTGTATTTTCGACATAGCCCACAAATGACCTTAGGTCATCGCATGACCTTGAGAGGTCAAATGAGTGTTGAGAAAGTAAGATTAGATGCTGGCGAGTCGATTGGTGCCATTTCTAGCGCTCTAGCTCTACTGGGTGGGCCACAATCTGCTGTGCAAATTTGGGCCACGTGACATTTGCTGACCTCTGTAGGTCAAACGGCTGGGAGTGCCACTGAATGACTCGGACTGTGGATTGGGCATGTCAGGTCCTACATTGTGTGCGTTTTTCAGCTTGATCGGAGATGTCCCGAATCTAGGCTGAATCCGGGCTGCGACGTATGGAGTGTCGTTTATTTGCACATTTTGACCTGCCGAGGTCAAACGGGGTCACATATCGAGAAGCGGTTTTTAAGGAAAGTTACTACGGCCTATGGGCTACCCGATGATGTGCTTTGATTTGGAATTCGGTCAATTCCTCTACTCGAAAACTGCTGTGCAAGTGTATTTTTGACATAGCCCACAAATGACCTTAGGTCATCGCATGACTTTGAGAGGTCAAATGAGTGCTGGGAAAGTAAGATTAGATGCTGGAGAGTCGATTGGTGCCATTTTTAGCGCTCTAGCTCTACTGGGTGGGCCACAATCTGCTGTGCAAATTTGGGCCACGTGACCTTTGCTGACCTCTGTAGGTCAAACGGCTGGGAGTGCCACCAAATGACTTGGACTGTGGATTGGGCATGTCATGGCCTACATTGTGTGCGAGTTTCAGCTTGATCGGAGGTGTCCCGAATCTGGGCTGAATCCGGGCTGAATCTGGGCTGAATATGGGCTGTCTTGACGGACATGTCGGAGGGCCGCTCCGGAGACGGACGCGGCCAGGCCAGGGAGCGCGCTCGACCGAGGCGGCTCTCGGCCGACCCATCAGATGGAGTGGCCGCTCCGAACGGCCGCTGGCGAGCCCGGGCACTCGACGTTTGACCGGGCCGTCGGCACCAGACGACACGACTATGAGAGACGAGCACATATCGATAAGGACCCGTCCCGATCGCGTCCAGAGCGGGACCATTATTTTCAACGGGAACGAAGTGCCCTGAAATTCCTTGTGGAAACGGGTGGTCCATTTATTTTGACCGGAGTGGCATTTCACTTGTGAATGCAATACATGTCAGCTAAAATATGTATTTGAAACCGTTGACATTGCCACTGAAAGGTCACATTAGACGAGTGACAACTCTTGCCAAGTGCATTCATTAAAAGGCGCGGTTTCGTGTGTAATCTTCCGACCTCTTCCCCATCTGCAGCGTAATTAATTTTGGCCGGCAGAGTTTCTGAAGCACGTGCCGTGCCTGCGGCTGGTCTCCATCGACTACAACTACTGCGGCCACCTCTACAAGAAATTGGTGGCGCACATCGAGCGAGGAGAGGATCGTAACCCATCGCCGCAGGTCTGCTGGTAAGTGGCCAGCGTCCGTGTCGCAACCACTAAAATGGCATCACCAAACTCTGCAATCGACATCGTCCAACCCACTGGAACAGAGGCGCCCACTGAAACGGAAACTCATTGAAGTTCGACCGTTCCGATCTTATCCCGCGCTCGTCCGGTCGCACCCCTGTCTGGCCGCTCAGTTCCGTGTTGTGTCCGTGATTGCAGTACTTTCAACGAGTTCACCAACTGTTCACGGGCCATGTCGCAGTCGCTGTGCAGCAGCGAGGGTGCCGAGTTCGTCGACCAGTACCTGGACCGCTTCGGGGACGCCACACTGACGGTATGGCCGACTGCGCACTGGCGTCACGCAATACCTGCGGATTGCACGTAGCTTCGAGCATAACGTGGTGTCATTAGTGAGCACATTGATCGATGGACATAGACATTGATATAATTGTTTCACAATATGAAAGCATGCTGAACAGACACGCTCAGCCATTCTTTAATTTCAAAACATATGATATTTAACATTTCTCCTTGAAACCAGACGGTGTAAACTGTAAATGACCAGATCTTGTCAGATCTTGTCAGACCAGATGTTGTTTCGGATATCACGTCACCGTGCCTTACCGGCCTGACCGGTGTCAGTGTATGATAAACCGAACTCTCTGTTTCCAGCCGGCCTGCAAGCCGTACCACGTGGGTTCAGAGCTGTGCCCCCGGTCCGGAGCGGCGCCGGGCCGGACCGCACGGTCTCTGACCATGGTGGTCGCCTCCATGCTGCCGATCCTGCTGCTGTCGTTACTGCTGAGCGCAGCCGAGCGGGCACAGCGTCCCTGATAGACAGCCGCTGCGGGCGTGTGCTTCTACGGCGTCGGAAGGGACTAGGCAGAACAGAGTGGACAGGACGGGACAATATAGGACAGAACGCCGCCCGTCCGCGGTTATCTTTCACGACCTAGTCGGCAGTTGGTCCCCGGGGCTGGATCTCACGAGCGGTACCCCAACCATGAATCTTTCCCGCGCCGAGACTGGACCTCACACGCAGTACCCCAACCATGGTTCTATCTCGCGCCTGTGCCCAAGTCGTGACAGGCGGCGTCACCCACATCATGACGAGGATCACCACGACGGGGATATCAACGTCGGAAAACGGACACGAGCACCAGCTTGAAGATACGCGCATGAACTTTGTCAGAATAATACTGTGTTCTAGAATACTGTGCTCTTTTGTTAGCTGGATGTCTGGCTACGACTTGGCGAGAGTAACAAAATAGCAAACATCAACTAGTGCACGGGTGACACCCCTGTGCGACAATAAGAAATGGGCGCGATGCTGTTCACGGCGCAGCGGCGACCGGGACCGCTGACAGACGCTTGTCGGGCTGTGCCGATGTCAGTGACTGTGAGACCCGTGGCCGACAAGTCAATTTGTCGTGCTCATGCTAATGGATGCGCGAACTACGGATGTTCATTGGGGTAGTCACCGACTACAGATGTTTGTAGCAAGTGTGACGCTCTACAGCATCACTAATCGCATCGAAATTCTGCCTATGCCTGCCCTGCATGAAGACGCAGTGCTGTGCCTGACGTTACTTTCATGCCCACTCCAAAAGCTGACTGTGTTAATTTTGAGCTTGATAGACATTCCCTTTCAGTAATCAACTTGAAGTTGATAAAAACCACCTAGATAATGTGTGCTCCAAGGAACGTCAAAATTTCTGAAGATAATACGCACCCCCCATTTTAGCATTCATCAAACAATGAGCTACAGCACTTGGAGTTAAAGATGGCACTCATATTAAAATAAAATACAAGGAGTTATGTCGTACCTCTAACTACTTGGATGCGTTGACATTATATTGCCGAGAGCTGCTGACATCGAATGAAAAGGTTCGGAACTCGTTAACCTTTTATGTAACATCTAGTACGGTTTTTATTTTTGTTTTGTTTTATATCATAGACCTGTGTATACAGAGGTCTATCTTTATACGTGTTTACTTAACCAAGAAGCAAACACTTGTTTAAAGTTTATTCCCGTGTTCTGTCAGCCGTGGAAGCCGATCGGATAAATTTGATACATCATAGCTGCGCCAGGACTGAAGTGTTTGTTCGCCACAGCCGCTGCACTCTGCCGCTCTGGATGTAAGCGGATCCGAGAGATAGGGGAGGGAGGAGGGACGGCAGGTCGACGAGCGGGGCTTCATCCCCATATAGACAAATCACTGACTCCATGCCGCACAGGGGAGTGTAGAGCGCTGGCTGCAGCGGAGCAGCCGCGTGTTGTCTGTTCGCGCTGTGTCGCATCTCTCAGTCACGCCGCCGCCGGGCCGGCTGTCGGAGAGCAGCCTGCATACGGTAGCAGCGGTGGTTGGGTTCCAGATCGGGAGGGGGGGGGGGGGCGCTCGTCGTGTGGTGCGTAGACGGGATCGGACGATTCGGGTCATTGCTGTATTGGTGCTGATGTGAGTGCGTCAAATGTTGGCCCTGGTGCCAGCTGTGTACGTGTGTAACACGCCCTGCTCGAGGCGTACAAGGATGGGCGACATGTGAATATTGAACAGAGCATGTTCATCAACCTCAGGAACGAGGCACATTGGCAGCTAAAACGGACGTGGTATGAACGGAAGCATGTGTTCATTCCGGCTCTGTATGTATATGCGTTTCTGCCTCAACTATGTGCGTAACTGAGAACGAAGTGTATGTATGTGTATACGTATAAGATGTGTTTACATGCCGAGGAGTATACAAACATCAGTATACTGAGCGCACTTGTTTTACATAGTCTTACAGTCATGGGTGTCGATTTGTATACCTTTGGGGGTGCTGCAGCACCCCCAATGCTCAAATGAGCACCCCCAATGGTTTTCCGGGCACCCCCAATGGTTTTGTCCCTCAATAACTCTGCTTGAGGAAAATAATTGTTCTGCAGTAGTTCACTACTAAAAATAAAACAATTACGCAATTTACAAGGCATGAAATAAAGATGTAAAGAAAAGAAAATTTAGATTTAAGAAGAAGGGCGAAAAAAACGTTAAGTTGCAAAGATGGTGTGGGTCCGTCGTACACGGGTGTCGGGCCCTCAGAGGCCGGCAAAGGGTCATCAGAGGCCGGTGGTATGTACCTTCAGAAACCCTGTGGGGTCATCTTTAGAGACCGGAACGGGCTCAGGCGCTGATGGGGCCCTCAGAGTCGCCGGTGTGGGGCCTTCAAATGTCACCGGTGGCAGGGTGGCCGTCACATGCGCACTTGTGGGGCCTTCAGAAGCTACGATGTTGGGCCCTCAGAGCCGCCGATATAGGGCCTTAAGAGGCACTAGTGTGGGGCCCTCAGATATGGCAATGTGGGGCCCTCGGACTGGAGGCGCCGGTGTGGGGGCTCTCAGAGACACTGGTTTAGGGCCATCACAGGCGCGCGTTGGGCCCTCAGAACTGCTGTTACGGAACGGATCCTTCATAGGCCGACAAGAAGATATCAAGAGGTCACCGGTGCCTTCAGGAGCCTTGTGGGGTTCTCAGAGACTGGCATGGTGCGCTCAGACGCCGCTGGGACCCTCCGTGTCACCTGTGTGGGGCCGTCAGGGTCGCTGGTAACTGTCAAGGGCCCTCAGAACCGCCCATGTAGGGTTTTTAAAAGGCATTGGTATAGGGCCTCAGAGTTAGGGGTGTGGGGCCCTCAGAGACGCCGGTGTGGCGCTCAGGGGCGCCGGTGAGGGCCCTCACAGTCGCCGTTATAGGGGCCCTCAGAGAAATGGGTGTGGGGCCATTACAGGCGGGTGTGCAGCTCCTAGAGCTGGCCCCCTAGAGGCCGGTTAAGACCCCCAGAGGCCGGCAAGTGGCCCTCAGAGGCTGGATTGGGGCCCTTATGGAGATCTTAATGTTAGTACTTTTGGGCCCATGAGGTGTTCTTACGAGCCCTGTGGGGCCCTTCTGAGTCCAAATATAGCCAACGTGGACCCTCAGTGGCCAATTGGCGCCGCAGTGCCCCTCAGGCCCGAATAATCCGATGGGCCCCTGAACCTGATGGGGCGGGGGGGGGGGGGGGGGGCTCACGGGCCCACCTGGCTACGCCACTGAGGAAAATCGTAAACCCATAAATATCGAATTGCAATCACCTGTTATTTTTTTCAGCGATTATTGTGATCGTCTGATAAACGCCAGAGCCTCGTAGCTATACCGTTGCCTCCCGCGCAATGTCCGCCCCTGCGGACCGCAGGGGCTGCTGCACCGGTGCTAATCGCGGTCATCGGTTTCTGTCACCTTATTACAGAGGTGTCGGGGCTGCTGCCGAGCTGCCGGCAAATGTACGCGTTTTTTTTCGGAAAGATGTTTATGTAATGAGGTAGCCAAGTACTAGGACGAGCAGAATGATTTTGAAGAACGTTCAACCTTTGGGAAATATTAGTGGAAATCCCGGGATTATCAGTACCTTATGGGGATACACAACCATGCCTTGTAGGTACGGTTGTGCCCCATGGCAAAGCTACAATCTTTCACCCGGTGCAGGGGTTGAGCACCCCCAACCATTTTGAAAAATCGACACCCCTGCTTACAGTCCTCACTCAAATAATTCACTTCTTTCCGACCCGTAAACGCCGCAATCATTATAAAGGACGGCGTCCGGCCAAGAGACGAACAGAGACGGGCACTGAAACACAAACATGCGGGTGTGCCTGAACTCTGAACTTCGTTCGTCACGTTGTGTTTGTTGAGAAGGAGTTTATGAACTGAGCGCTGAGGCGTTTATGGACTGAACGCGACGCGTATATGAGCTAAGCGCCGTCCGTTCTGCGGTGGTAAGCGTATCGGAGGATTGTGCCACAGCTTTTGAGCGTTGTGCGCTCGCATGCAGCGTCTAGCAATGTCCATGAGATGTGGAATTTTCACGAGATAAATTGTAAAGCCTTTCCAATCAGTGATACCCCCAGGGCTTGGTCAAAACATATATATACATATGATATGACTTAAAATGTTAAAAGGGCGTAGCACGTCTAAAAAAATACGACTTACGCTACTTTATCGTAAACAATAAATATCCGTGAACACAAAGTGTTGTGTTTTGACGGGTGGGCGACTGAGTTGGAATCATTTTGGGGTAGTTCCACACCTAAAAAACAACTATCCACACGCGTGATGCATATCAGATTCAACAGTGCGTAGGGCCATCAGCGCAGGGCTGTCACAGAAAAATAATTGCCAAGTTCCGACCGTCAGATTGTAAGCAATTATAGGCTAGGCTGACTGCCCGGGAATTTATAGATACAGTTAGAGGCGGGATGGAGACTGGGCTCTAATTGCTAGGTCAATACTACCCGAAATATGACCTGTGACGAGGCCGTACATCATAACCTTCAGCTGTGAGAAATTACATATTATGACAAATGCTATCCGACGGCAGACAGCAGCGGAGCAAAGTTAAATGCTGCGCTGATTCTCGAGACCATTTCGAGACAATCTCTGCCATTTTGAGAAAGCAAACTTTTCACTTAATCTCTGTCAGATGTGAGATGGAGATATAAAAAGGAGCTGTCATTCTTTTCAGTCGACGTGTATTTATTGCCATTTCTATGTCCCAGATGAGTACGCGATGAGGATGATCAGCACTGGCTCGACGTTTGATGAGATCGGGGCGCATGACAGGACCGTGGGGAGAGTCACTGGGCACTGGCCCGCCGCCAGCGCACACGTGGGGCGCCCGCGGGGCCGCACTCGGCGACTTGGCACCGGGGTCGTCTCCACCACAGCCACTACATTATTAAAGTACACGCTCTTGGATGAACCCCTCGGGAGACTTCTCACCGAGATGTTCCCGGATTGGCAGATAAAACCGTGCGGCCATACCTGCAACGCGAGCGGCGCTGGCAGCGAACTCCGCTTACCAGTCATATAGATCCACACGGCGTGCGCACAAAGCCATGGAGACACCGAGACACGTTAACAGCCAGTCACAGTGCGGCGCTCACCCGCTAAACGCCGTGAAGTAGGTGTACTTGACGCGCGACACGTGCGTGCACAGCGCCAGCGCGTCGCGCTCGCTCAGTTGCAGCACCTCCGTCAGCGTCGACCACGTCAGCAGCATGAACGACACGCCGTCCAGCTCCTGGCAACGGAGGAGCGAGAGAATGCCGGTGACCGCACACACACGGGAAAACGTGTGGAGAAACGCACAATATGCATATACAAACAGGCAGGTACGACTGGAAAGCGGGTAAAGATTAGACATGTCATTCGGAACATGTTTTTATGCTACAATCACACTGATACCAATTTGGTACTGATGTTTGGAGCTTTGGTATTTTGTGTGATTTTAGGAATAGGTACTGGTAAGGCATGGGGTTTATTTCCGCGGATTTAGTGGTAATTGGACTGTTTTTGTTTCCCAATGCACTGAACATGACAAAACTGTAACAGATGTATCTCTGAGGTACGCCATTACTCGAGGGCAGCCAATTCACGAGAGAGAAGGTTTTGGACGGCAGACTCTGCGTTTTTCCAGCCGCACGGCCGGGAATTTCGGTGCGCTGCGTGGTGTCATTCCCACCACCGCAGCGGCGCTGTTTACTCTGCGACAACGGCTTTTCTGGTGGCATCAGGGAATTCAGCGGCTTTTCTGGCCACGTCGGGAATTTCAGGAATTCACACACATCGGCCTGTACGTAAACAGGGAAACTGGGTGGTGGCAACTCGTCTTATGGAGGCCTGAGGCCAGAGTAACTCACTTGAGGTCGCAGTAACTCACATGGGGCCGAGGTGGCTCACTTGGAGTCAGGCTAGCTCATCTGGGGTCGGAATAGCTCATATGGATCCGATGTAGCTCATCTGGGTCCAGGGTGGTTCGCCTGGAGCCGGGGTAGCTCACCCGGGGCCGGGTGGCACACCTGGAGCCAGGCTAGCTCACTTGGAGCCAGGGTAGCTCACCTGCTGTAGCAGACTGGGCACCAGGTGGGCGCACTCGGTAGTGCTCAGGTACTGGGCCAGGTCGGTGGCGCCCCACAGCCGCGGGCTCTTCTCCAGAGCCACCTGATACAGCGCCGGCCGGTCGGGTTTGGGCGAGGGCGGCTTCCGCGGGGCCGCCGCCGCTCTCTCCCCACCCGCCTCGTCCAGCCACTTGGGCCGCCTGCCGGCGCAAACACACATACACAGTAATAACGGAGAGCAAACAGGAGACCTGTGCTGTCAGGCGCTGGACTGTCGACCCGACTGAAAGCATAGTTTGCCTAGCATATTGTCAATTCAGACAATAATGGATGTTGAACGAGTTTACCCGGATGAATGGATAGTGAACGATGTGGCAGATTCGTTCCCTGAATTCTTTGATGACGACTCGATACACACCATTGGAAGTAACTGTAGTTGTACGGACATGCATCACAGTACGCTGAATACCTATCTCAAGACTAGCCCATTCGCATCTTTGATTCGACAACATTGTCTGGGCTAACACTCATCCCACCAGACGAACTGGTGATAGGTCAACTCCAATAGGAGCATATCCCTCCGTGGTGACCGTTTGGGTGGCTGGGTGACCTGTCCCACCGGAACACACGTCCCAATGAGCTCGTCCAATGCGGTACACCAGTCGGTGGTCGACTGAGTCCATTGTCTCACCCCTATCCTCACAGCTCATGACCCTAAAATGAATCTCAAGAGACCAAGAGGTGTCAGCCAACAAAACAAAACAAATTAAGATCGCAGACAAAATGTGCGGCGAAAGATTTATTCCAGGTATAAACCTCAAGCACCAGTAGCTAGTTATCCTAATATTATCCTAAACTACAAGCATCCTAGAGATAAAACTACCTAATGCAGTGCTTTTTTCAGTCATTCGTGGTAGGAAATACACAATCCCTTTCTGCTGTCTTCTCGGCAGAGAAGATTGCTTGGAAAGTTACGTAAGGAAGCAAGATGACGCTAATTTTTCTTTTCTTTTTTAATTTCTGTTGCTTAATGAACCGTTTTACTGCGTGAGTGTCATACTTGTAGCGAAACGCAATACTGCAAAGAAAACATTTTAGAAGTGGACTGTACTAGCGTAGCAGAGTTTCCTAACTTCGAACTGGCGCGATGGTCTGGCGGGTAATTCGCCCGCTCAAAAGTTTAAATTGGTTGCTATGTTTGAAGGCTGTTGAAATTACTCTTGTAACATGTCTGATGGGGTGCTGCGATTTGTTACTTGACGCGGGCCTGCTGGATGGACAATCTCCGAACCGCCGACCTCTGCGCGGGCTGTGCGACCCTCAGCGCGACCCACGAGTAGGTAGAGATCTCTAGACGTGAGCCGTCCCGCTGAGATCGGGCGCCGCCGAGTGTGCCGCACCAGCTGTGTGAGGTGCGCCGATGGATCACGTCGGTCTCTCACTGGCCGACAGGCCATTCCCACCGCACAGCTGCCCGGCATGGGCCGCCACAGCGACGGTGACCCTCTCTTGAGGCACAGTTGGGGCGGCTACAGACGTCTCAGCTGGTCTCAAAAGGAACCGATAACAGCCGGACCAGGGCCGGAAGACATCGGCCTCCGAAGGCACTGCTGATGATGATTGGACGGGGAAGGGGGGAGGAGAGGAGGCGCTAGGAATTCATCGGCCAGTGGCGCTCATTCAGAAGGCCCAGCGCCCATTCTGAGGGCCTTGGCAGCATTTGAAAGGCAGAGCTGAGACCGATAGGTAGCAAACTAGTCTCAGCTGGTCGCTGAAAGCACCGCTCGACCTGGGAGATGAGACGAAGCTCGCCCGATGATCCGATCGGCCGGAAGTCACGACCACTCAGCTGCCGACAGGAAAATTATCCATCGCCGCAGGCGTGGAAAATTCCCGCTGAGTTACCGGTGCGCTGATGAATTGACGGCAGCTAGTGTCGGTCGCTTGAGTGACACCGATAGCCGTCACCGCTGCAGTGAACGGCCAACAAGGGAGCGAGCCGTCTCCATGCAGGCGCTGTGCGTGATGTCCGGCATAACCGGCTAGCATTTCTATGGCATCACTTAGCGAGATGTAATCTGCAAAGGTCAGAATCCATTACGCAAGCGAAAGGGATACAATATGTGCTATTACATTAGCCAACTCAAGCAGGTAAATCGCAATGAACGAAAAAGGAAAAATGGAAAATCTCCGACCATTCGTCGGCTCGCAGGGCTCACTGGCTTACAGCTCAACTCCAATTTCACCACTAATTGCGAGCAGTTCATCCAGCCTAGCCTGTTGTTTTGGTTCCCGCTCAACTGAGCCGGTCCCGTAGCTCAGTTGGTAGAGCGTTGGACTCCGCGTGGTGAGAGCACGCGTTCCCGGTTATAACAGTCCGGGTTCGAAGCGCGACGGGCGCTTGACATTTATGGGCCTCCTGACAGGGATGGTTGCGGTTCGTGGCAGGCCGTAGCCAGGCGAAGTCAGTGAGGGGACCGGCCGTGCGCGGCTATGTGCGCACGTTAAACTTTGGACTCTAAATTCTGCCATAGAACTGGAATTGCGCGATCGGAGGGTAGAGGGCAGGGTCACCGCAACAAGCTTCGCTTAGCGGTGGTTCTGTCCTTGTGAATCCTTCCTATCAAAAGGTTCGGACTAAATTTATAAAAAAAAATTATTCAGAGGGCCCACGGTAGTGAGAACAGGCCGTGTGCGCCATTCCCTCGCCCGTGCAGGACTCTTCACAGCCGCTAACGCGCGGGGGACTAAACCTCTCTTAACCGTTCGACCCTGATTGACCTAGAACGTTGAGGAAAAAAACGATCGCATCGCTCGTGATGACGGGAAACCAATCATGCGCCAATCAAAACTTAGCATGCACGGCATATCTGCAACCCCTATTCAGAAAACCACATCACTGTGGTTTTCACTCTCGAGTACCGCATCATCGACCCCTAAAATTGATGGCGCGATTTCGTCTATCAACTGGCTGCAGAATGGCGACGCTCCGCGGAAGCCGTGTCGCCTGGCCGCCCAGTTAGCGCGGTGGAACTTTGACAAGGCGCCGTTAATCTCGGCGGGCGGCTCGGACCGGGCCGGTCCGATACGTCACTGTGCCACCCTCCCGTCTCGGATCGGTCCACCCCCGCTCCCCGGCTCAGCGAGTTCGGCCCCAGGCGACCGGAAGATGGGCCGTATTGGTCTGTCCAGCTTCATGAAGATATCGACGACATAGCTCACAATAGTCGCCAGACATTGTCACCCTTTCGTCTCTATTATAAAATTTGCCTTCTTTTGCGGATTATCCACACTGCGATAAATCCCTATGATAGCCTCCAACGAAAAGTCCCTAGCACTCATTTCGTAGAATAGCCACAAAACAGCTGTAAATAAATGCCGAATATCTAATATCTATATTCTGTAGCAAACGTTCGCCTTTCTTTCACCAAATAAAGTCCCGATGCTTATTGGCCACCGAGGAGACTAATAAAGAAATGTCCAAATATGAGAAGAAAGTATCTGATTAGTTCTCTCATATTAAATGCAAAGTAACCTAATTTTGAACGTTCCGCGAAATGCGACAGTGGCTAATTTCACAGCTTTAAGAATTTTAAGCTTATTAGAAAGAAAACGACCAGCAATAGAAAATGGCCCATCCAAAAGTTTATTCATCACATCTGGGCGCCAAACCGTTAGCCTGAGTTTAACCTTCGCCCTGGCAGGGGGGGGGGGTGTCGATGCGACCCCCCCTAAGATTTTTCGAAGATAGCGTAAAAACGGCGGCGCGCAGCGCCGCCAAATTTGGCACAGCCTATGGGGCAACCTTTTTACATATGACCTGAAAATTTCAGGTCCGGGTGACCTTGGGTCAGGTCACCAGGTCAGAAAAACCGGTACAAGGTCATGGTCAAATTCCAATTTCCTTTTCACACCTGTCCAACTCACAGTTTTGCACTGATTTCCTTCAAACTTTCAGGATGTGCTAAGTTCACCGAGTTGTATAACATATAGTTCGGGTTTTTTGAGGTCACTGGCCTGAGGTCAGTTAGAGGTCATTACGTCGTAATGTTAAGCCTATGGGGAAATACTAAATTCGGAAAATACTGGAGATATCCGCTTCGTTCTATCACTTTTGTGCTTTGAAACCACAGTACTTAACAGCAGGTCACTTGGTGCTTCTTTGTTTGGTGTACTTATCCATGGGTCAGGTCAAATGAGGTCAACTGAGGTCAAATGACGTTTTTGCCAATAACTTGGCACATAATGACGCTAGAGCTTAAAAAATAGTATCATTGTATTCCTGGTGATCAGCCGAATCGAATGATATGCGATATGATGCAATTTGGGTAACTTTAACTTAATTTATTAATTCAAGTTTACTTAAAATTTAAGAAAAACTTTAAGTACACTTAAGCAAGCAAAAAAGTATACCATTCGACGCGCCTTGACGTGCTGAGTTCACTGGTGCTTTTCTTTTTGCTCTATCTTAATTAGATCAAAAGTTATAAGCGAAAAACTTTTGACCTGTTTTTAGCGAAATTTTTACATTTATACCCCCCCAAAACCCCCCTAAATATTGACCTAGAGCAACCAAATTTGCACAGGGGCGGGAACTCCAGGGGGCCCACCTACCTACCAAATTTGGTGTTTCTAGGTGCCATAGGAGCCAATCGCGAGGGGGGGTCGCATCGACCCCCCTCCCCTGCCAGGCCGTGTTATGAAAAATGCCCTGCCAGGGCGAGGGTTAATCTACCAAACAATTATTATAAGTTCGCAACGCTAACTTTTCATCAAGCACCCAGGAAGGGAGCCCGAAAATCCTTCTTCCTGCGATTGAAAGGAATAGAAAGCCATCAAGACACAGGTTACTCACGCCGTCGGAGCGTTTCTTTAGAAATGGATCCATATTCCATTAATAGCAGTTTGCAGGACGGCAAAAGGCTCATGCAGAGTGGTAATATTTCGACATGTGTTTGAAGAATTGATAAAAAAGTTCTTACTTCGTTTCGCATCAGAGTGGATGTCAGCTCGCATTCTTTTGTTTTATTTCATTGATGGCGCATGCACCGTGCAACTATTCCCCAAGCTGATGAAAGAGCTGTTCTCGAGACCAGTAAGAGTTACGGCCACTTTACGGCTTGCAAAGTTTGAACAACTATCGAAATACATCGCATAAGCTGAAACGGATATCAAAAAAGCCAAATAAAGCACAAGGAAA